TGGAAGTCATCTTATTAATATTATCAGTCTGTATCTTCATATTCATCTCTCAAAAGTAGGAGGCACAGCACCAGAGAAAATTAATACTGATGCACTTTATGCTTTTGCTGTTAAATTTTTAGTAGTAAAAGATTAGTTAAAAAAAAAGGCTAGCTGGTTTGCTTAGTTAGGGCATGGTGCTGATAACACCAAGGTCTGGGGTTTGATCCCTGTACTGGTCAGCCAAAAAAAAAAAAAAAAAAGACTGGTAACATTAGTATTTTCTTTTTCATCCTGCTTGTTTACAGCAATAAAAAAAAATGTGTTGCTAAGAAAAAATTGAAAACGTGCTAGAACCTGAGTTGTCAAGTTATTAGTGCCATTGAAATTTGATTCCCTGAGGATACAGTTTTATTATCTCAAGGATGAGATTATTTCATAGAAACAGAGGCTCTATAAAATCAAGGTTATATATGTTTTATTTCCTTGGTCTTTCTTTATACTCCATAATCTGAATCATTGTTTTTATTGGATGCCAAGTCTTTTATTTTCATTTAATTATAATTTATCATTAGGAAACTAAATTGAGAATTGTTCATTTCTTGTAATAGCCTATGCTTAATAACTCTATAGGTTATGATTCTTATAGGCTCTGAAACCAAACATTATGTCTGTTGTGACATGACTAAATTATTAAGGTAAATTGTTAGAAAACCTAAAATCTATTTAACACATTGTATTTTGCCAATTTTTTTTCTTCTTTCTGTATTTAGGTGTTCAGTCAGCTTGGATCTGTGCTGAAAAACTGTGACATTTCAATACATCTGGTAGAGGTGAGCCAAAAATTAAGTGAGATTCAAGCATTGACACTGACTGAAGAGAAGGTCCCATTAGAGCGAAATGCTGGATCCCCAGTATATATGAAAGGTATTTCTAAGGCTGGGATTCCAGTATCCTGGTACCGAGATCTGCAAGATGTTCCAAAAGGTAATTTCTTTACATTGATTACTGAAGAATTTTGATCATGACTCCTCACAGTAGTGATAGGTGACCATAACCTTTTATAGCAGTATAATAGATTTTGAGTTATTGCTGCCAAGTCCCTTATCCATGGAGAGTAGCTTTTTTCCTAGAAAAGAGCATCATATTAGAAAATAAAATTGCGTAACATTAAGAGGAGCAGTGTATTTCATGTAGTTTTGTTTTAAAAAAACAAAACATGAATCTCCATTAAACTTTTTAGTATTTCCTGATAGCTGAGACAGTACTGATGATGAAGCAGCCCAAGGCAGCAGCGGTTGAAGGAAGCAGTAAATGGATTTAGTTTAGTTAACTAATCTTTTGAAAATCCTACTTGCCTAAAGGTAAGCAAGGTGTGGTGATAAAATCCCTGACTAGTCAGGAATCTTATAGTGATGAGTCCTGGCTCAAACTTAAATTGCTGGTATGATCTCTGGCAAGGCACCCAAAGCCATTCCTGGCCTCAGCCTTCTCAGATGATTTTATGAAATTCAAATTCCCTTTCAGCTAACACATTTGAGTTATTTCTTTCAGGTCTAGTGATGAATAAAATGGTTTAGCTGGTAATTCAGGTATTTCAGCTCTCTGACCCTGTTAATGTGGAAAATGAGAACAGTAGTAACTGTTCCTTTGTATGATCTGCAGGAGTAGGTTTTCCAGGAAGACCTGCATAAGTCTGTGGTAGTGATGATTATTTAAGTATCACAGGTTACAGTACTAAAGAATTAGGCATTTTCTTTTTTATAGTTAACGTTCAAAAAGTTAAGTGCCTTAAAATGCTGAAACATTTTTTTTTTCTATTTTTAAATAGGGTACAGCTTTTATCTTGCACATGAATTTTTTGATGTTCTTCCTGTGCATAAGTTTCAGGTATTGATGGAAAAAAAGATGTTTATAATTGAATAACAAAAGGAGTTGTATTGTAAGAATGAACTTTTATGGTGTTTATAGTACATGAATATTACTTATTGAAGTTATTTTTAACTATTATTTGGAATTCGATGAACATAAATAACTAAAAATCAAAAATGAGGTATTAAAGGGAATTCTTAATTTTCCTGGGGTAATTATTATGAATTCTTAATTCTTCTGGGATGAAGAAGTGAGAGAATGTAAAATGGCATTAGTACAGTGAAGGGTTTATTTTGGCAAATTTTTAAAAATTCCAGAGATTAAAATATTTTCATTCTTTCTGTGAGGAAATTTAAGATTTGGTGGTAAGGTGTGTGTACTGGTAACTTAAGGCTAAGACCAGTTCTGATTACCATGTAGTGATTTGTTAGCAGAAGCTTCTTTTTTTTAAAAAAAATATGACCGGTAAGGGGATCTCAGCCCTTGGCTTGGTGTTGTCAGCACCACGCTCTGCCAGTGAGCGAACCGGCCATCCCCATATAGGATCCGAACCCAGGGCCTTGGTGTTTTCAGCACCGCACTCTCCCGAGTGAGCCACGGGCCGGCCTAGCAGAAGCTTCTGATTGTTTCTCCTGAGTCTATTTTCCATTTTGGGGGCTCTTTCCATGCTGTGTGTTTTCTTACCTTCTACACCTCCATCTCTGTTATTGCTTCCTCCCTTATAACATGAACAGTTTGCATATATCAGTCTACTCATATTGTTCAAAGGAAATGAAGTAGTGCTTTTAAGTAATTTTACGTAGTAAAGTGCCCCATAAATATTATTTTTGGTAAGAAGTGAAAGCTAAGTTATTTTTGGTAGAGGCAATTTTGAGAACAAACTTGTAAAAATTTGTTTTTATGCATTATTTTGTGTTTAGAAAACACCACACGGATGGCGAGAAGTATTCGTTGACATTGATCCGCA